AGGTGTACAATACCCAAACTCTTCGTGATCTCTTTCACGCCTTTCTGCCAAGTCATGGGCTGTCCACCCCGCGGTTTGCGCCATCCTGAAGGAGGCACGGAGAACAACACTCGTCTCGGTAGACGGTGTTTCGGCATGCGTAGCACATGACCGAGTCATCGCAGTCGATGATACTGGATGTTTTCCCGGATTGAGGTGCCTGCAACACAACCAAATACCCGTTTTCTAATCGCCGCGTTACTGACACGCTGCCATCCGAAACCAGCCACGCTTCTGAGGCATCGGTGGTCGAAAACCTGAAGACGCCTCACATCATCTACCCGCAGAGGCCATGTCTCGCACCCATACAACAACACAGCCCTTACTGTAGCCTGGTACACGCGACCCTTAAGATCCAGTGAGATGCCTTTTTGACGCCACAAGTGACACAAATTAGCAAACGTGATTCGATCCTTTGAGATTCTTGCACTGACTTCATCAGACACACGGAAGTGTCTGATGAAGTGGATTGAAGGTTTTGAACAAACATTGCATACTGAGGGCTACAAACGCGCACGGAAGCAGGAAATCAGTGTGTGAGTGATGGTTTTCTTCAGTCTCCCGGACTGTGTCATTGTTTCCAAATAAGTTCAAACAATTGTCATGGCAGAAAAAAGAGACCCGCCATCGATCATGAATGATACTGGTGGAGACTGATCCGACACGACAGCCCGGTGATGTTTCAAGCCAGAACACTAGAGCGGTAAACCGTTATTAAAAGTGTTTTTCGTTAGAACAGAGCTACAGTGGATTGATGTGCAAGTGGGTAATATCATTAAGAGTCGTTAGTCCAGAAAGAATTCGCTGTGCATAAGGTTGCTGAGAACTCTACGAAGGCAAGGCTCATCACACGTAGACAGTCCCTGAGTTTCCGTCAGCCTCATGTTCTACGTTTTGACAAGCGCGGATTCTTATGGAAGTGAACAACTGGGCAACCTGGTGCAGCAATCGATACGCTACCTGGGGTTCGTAGTTGATAGCGTCTACAAATAAAAGGTGCTGTAAGCTCAATTTTTGGATATAAAATTTATTCTTGTTTCAAAAACTCATCAAAACCTAGAGTGCGTTTAAGGGGAGTTTTTCGCCCAAGATGCTTGAGAACAAGCTAAAAGACGTGATAAAAAGCGGGAGAACGAGGTTTGAATGGCGCACTCCAAGTGGCAAATGTGAGTTCGCGCGATCGGTCATTTTTCTGGCTACCTAACTGAGGCATCTATACCTAGAAGAGTGATTATTATGCAGGACAGAGGGAACTAGGATTAAACAATAGAAGGCGTCAGCAGTCGGACATCGATCCTCCTTCATCCTCTTGTACACAGCGAATAAGATGGCCGAATGGTGCCACCACACCACGGCCGATGTAGCATGATGGCGTTTTTGTTTGGGTATATCAATGTTGTGTGTGGTCTGAGCTACTGTCAGAGCGTTCAAATCTGGACAAGAAAACGAGTGGGGATACTAACCGGAGCCATTAGCTCAAACACTTGACCGCAAGACACTGGTGGTCGGCGTGATACCACCAAAGTAACTCAACATTTGAGAAACGAGTAGTCAGACAAGTTCCAACACGCAATCTAGGCCATTCAAGAATTGGAAACTCTGTGGAGACATCTTAAAGTATAGCTCAAACGGTCGCCAACTTGCATAAACCACCACTCCACAACAAGAACTCTGCCGCTCAACCTCCGCTGTCTATGCTTGGGCAACCTGGCAGTATCCCAGCCTTCATGCTTCCTTCTGGTGGCGTGACAGTTGGGCCCCGAAAGAGTGCTACAGCTGAACGATACAACAAGACCTGGTCTCTTTGCGACGATTTGTTAGTCGACGGCCGCGCCACATCAGTGGGGACCATGGATGAATTCCTGGAATTCGGAGGGGTGGATGTTTCGGATATGAACTATTCATTGTCGGACCCGTTTACTTGAAACTCGATTCTGTTCCCCGCAGATAATTCAACTGAGCACCGAAGTGCTCCACATAAAGTCTCGAATTTGTGACCAATTACCCACTCTAAGCTCTTATCTAAGTAGAAAAAAGAACCGGTAATGCCATAGATGTTGTGCGACTCCCAAGTATGACAGTTACCTCTGCTACGGTTGACTGGTAACTTAAGTAATGCGTTACGGACTGGCAGTTCAAGGAAAATCGAACGTCTCGCCTGTTTGATTTAGAAATTTAATCATTAAATGACGGAGCTGATGTAACATATCGCTGTGGGCGTGCTTGATGAAGATAAAACTGACCGACAGTGCGCCGATCTTGCTGTGGACCTTCGGTCATGTGTGGTTGAGATCTGGGGCATTATTGAAACTGACTACTCCTCACAAAAGTAAGCACGTGACCAGATCACTCACCCAATTCATGAGGAGCATTAAGGGCGGCGAGTCCAAACAAGGCGCTTCGGTAAAAACTTGAAATCGGCTAATAACAAGGTTTGTACACGACTTGACTAATTTTTGAATATAAACGGGAAAACGGCATCGGTTCGTTCGTCGTTCAGCTGTAGTACCCTTTCGGTGCCAAACTGTCATGTCACCCGAAGGTTGCACGAGGGCTGGGATACTGCCAGGTTGCCCAAGCCTAGAGAGGGGAAGTCGAGAGGCAGAGGTCGGATTCGAACCACAGATATTCTGGTCAGTAAATTCGCATTCTAACCACTTGAGGCATCTCACCCCAATTAAAGTCATGTTATCAATTGAAGAAAAAATTGACAAGATGAGCACATGAAAACGGAAACAAGCATAGGGATAGTTGATCTAGAGGCTGTACAAAAAGGTTCACCGGAAGTCAAAGATGGAGATAAAGTCACGATGAACGCGAAGGAGTGAAACGCCTTCGAACGCAATTGTTTAAAGCATTAATATATGATTTGTAACCATAAACTGTCTGTCACAGCTTGCCGATCCCTCAATCTTAAGACCTTTCAACGACATCACGAGAACGTCTACAACGTCTTGTTCCTCTACCCCTTGTTTGACTCCGAGTGACTGGAATGTGTGAATTTTCTCCCATGTCATTCGTGTAATTTTGTACGTCGGACACATCCATGGCAAAGTCCGGGTCAGATTCATCGCTGCCAGCCCAACTGTAACCGCGAACGATGTATTCGTATTCTGTATCCAACGTCGAATCGTCTGTGTCAATGGACGACACCGTTTCAACATCATCTTGATGGAGGTCACTTATTGTGGACTGAGAGGAACCGGAGGTAAGGGGGCCGATTTCCGTTTCATTCGGAAACTGCAAGGAGAAAAGTTAATCAGGAAACTTCAAAGACAGCTGGGTGTGAAAATCTTGAAAAGAGTCTTCTACTATGTCCCCAAAAATATTCACCGAGTCAAGGGGGATAAAACAAACTGACGGATCATCAGGATGAACAATTGCGGAAACTAACATTCAGGAGAAGTAGCCGAGTAATATACAGCAAAAATGATGAACTAGAGCTAACGTTCAACCCAGAGTTCAACAGGTTGCTCAAGGTCACCAATAAGGTGGACTTGAGACACGCACGTGGCAGAACCAGAGTATGTGTAAGGGGGGAGCGTGGGTTGCGAACGTTTGCAAGCATGCGATATTTTATCGATCCGAAGTGTGAGAAAACGACAATTCTTCCCTGGGATTTAATCTCTAGTATGCACCAGTCAAATGCTGATCAGTCGCCCGCATGAGATCTTCGTGGGGATCGTTGAAGTTTTCATGAGGAAAGCCTCCAAGGAGTGCGTCACAGATCAGAGTGTTACTGTCGCCTACAGGTTAACGATGGCTGTAGTTAACACTCAAAAACGAATTTAATAAGGTGATAACTGAGTGAAAATTTCCATGTTCGAAATATCAGATTTATCAGATGAAATCCAACTACACCATTTGGGACTGATGCAGGCTAAACGTTTTTTACAAACTCGACATACTGTCGTAAAATCCAGTGAAATCAACCTGAACATTAAGATCTGAATGAAAAGTAACCGGGTAGTCATTCTGAATGCTATTGCCCTAAGATCATCCAATCCCGACCCAGTAAAGCTTACTGCAATTGCATGATCTAGTGAGAAGGTGCTGAAAGTACTGATCAACATGGCTGATGAGCCAATCCGGGCATGATGCACGCGTCGCAGAAGAGACCAAAGGGATGTCGTTTAATGGCTGAGTGAAAGGCCACATGATGCCCACAAACGTATAAATGGCAACGTCCAGCAGCTTTGAACGAAACAGTTACATGCAGACTTTGGTCGTGATTAATTAATTAACTAGCTAATAAAAAATGAACAAACCGTTTCTCGGACAATTCAGAGTTTCAAAAGCACAACCCTGCACGGACCAACCTTCAAAAACGGCACGCCAACCTGTACAATATCTTTGTCTAAATGTGTACTGAAAATCGAGGGAATAGACTGAAAACCGAGTTGCAGAAAAGGAGACTAGAGGGCGAGGCTTGACAAGTACAACAACAAATACACCCATGAGCCCGTATTACCTGATACCTGGTCTTGCAGCTGAGCCACTGTGGACGATGAATCATGTATGCAAGTGAGTTCAAAGCCAGAATGACCACCGCAAGTCAAGCTAATTTGTCGCCACTAGTCTCAAACCATTGTGCGACTTTCTTACTGGTGAGTACTCTGGTTTCTCCTAGGACTTCAGCTGAAAAACTGTTCAGTCACCAAATCAATATCTACAATCATTCCCTGGGCAGAGTCAAGAGGACTATCTTGGCTACCATGAGACGCCCCGCTTTGGGTGAGTTACACCAAAAGGTGATTCACAGGGAAGGTTGCTGGTTACTCTATGCTGGAGAGTGGCTCTATCTTTCTGCAGTTACCTTACTCAAATGCGAAGTGGAAATTAGAACAACTCGACTCAAATGTATATCGACGGATGGGCACTTGTGGGAAGAGAAGAAAACCGATCCATTCACTCAGGTGACCGAAACCTTGGCCCAATAAAGCGAATTCCGCTCACGGGTTGAACACAACATCGTCGCCCAGCTGGGTGTAGCTTGCAGAGATAGTGTTCTTAACGAACCATAGAAATTTGATTGCACTCACCGAAAAAGAATGACTGAGTTCCCTTATTGATATCCTACTAAGTTGTTTTTAGTCATAGCGTAAAAATCGATAACTATAGCTTACTGGAAGGTTAACCGGTTGTTCCAGGAAGTTGGCAAACATACATGAACAGGACGAGTACGTGTCTGTTTTCATACCTGACGCCAGTTTGTGTGTAGAAAATCTGCCTATTGGGACAATCGAAATCACTCATAACTTGAAACGAGTAGAGAAACAGAGTACTAATTTGTGCCGGAAAAACAGAGAGGACAAATCAAGCCAAATGTGGCAAGCGGGCTGAAACCGATGAAAATACATGGGGTACGACCTGCATTTGAGGGAACCTAGGATATTGAAATGTAGTAGAATCCCAGACAAAGGGTTCGATCGTTCACCTAGTGTCGTGACTTTGTCCAGCCGCATCGCCCTTTCGGTGCCTAGCTACCACGCCACTCAGAGTAAGCACGAGGGACGAGATACTGTCAGGTTGCCCAAGCCTAGACTGGAGCAGTCAAGATACAAGAGTCGGATTCGAACCACGGACCTTCCGGTTTGTAAGTTCGCACCTTAACCACTGGGCAACCTCGAATGTGACAACATTAGAGTCCGCTCTACAGAACAACTCAACGTGTATCAACTCTAGGTGGTTTTGCACAGGCGGACAACCACATCATGATTTGTCGATTTCCCGTAAGGATCGAGAGACGCTACATCGTGGGGTGAAGTTCAGAACTCACTCTATACAGGAGACCCGACTCTGCAAGCCGATTACGATAACGCCCGCCATCAGGATCGTATAACTCGAAACGAGCGCGATCACTGTGAACGGCTTCGTCAGCATCCACGAGATCCTTCGTACACGATTTCCAACAACTCAAAGAGCCGTTGAGCTCGGAGGCCATTGCAAGCGGTTCCCAGGGGTGCCAGTATACATCTCGCACAGCATGTGGACCATGGGAGTTGCGCCGTATCTACGGTAAGCAAAATGAAATCCTCTGAGATAAGCATTGAAGTAAATCAAAGTAGATGCAAATAAATACAAGTAAATTCTATTCACCACTACTTTGTAGAGGGATCAAAGAAATTCACCTGCTATGCCCATATCACGGGTATCAAACAAAGATTCGCTGAACAAAGTAATAGATGGCTGAGGAACAAGTAAATAGGTCCGATTGGTTAAACGTTCCAACTCTCACGGTCATCCGATGAACTTCACCCATAACAAATCAAATGAACGGCAGTTAGTGTACGGCATGTCAAGGAATATGCTCATCCACGTAAACGAGATTGAAATGGGCGCTGGAAGCGGAATTGTCTATTACCACGAAAAAAGCTGGGTACTCAGTGTCTGGACCAAGTACGACTGCACCCTTTTTGGGAGGGAGCACCTTATGAGGATGACGAAAAGTAGAGATTTTAGCATTCGCATACGCTTCATAGGACTGCATACATGCGGAATGGACATGTGCTAACTGGTCGTTAGCTTGTACGCTGAGCTGGCCCATAAACCGAATGCCACCCCAAGGAAATTAATCTCTAGACCGAAGGAGAACCGAGACAAAACCAAGAGGAACAATGTGATATACCAAATCAAACGCAACAACTGCAACAAATTCTACGTCGGACAAACTGGGAGGAACACAACGCGGTCGTCAGGAGACATGACTCCCCGTTCTTGATATCTAAACACGAAAACCAAGGTCACAAATTCAATCTGGAAAACGCAGAAATCCTGGCGTACGGAAACAGGAGACACGGAAGGGAATTTCTGGAAGCAAGGCACTCCACGGCAGATCTGGCCAACCGGTGCATCGAACTGAATCCAATTTACGCACCTCTACGTATAAAAGACCAACATCTCAACCGGAACACTCAAGGGGGGGACCGAATAATGGATTGAAAAACATAGAAACAAGAAACTACTTGGAGTCAAATCAATAAAGGTCACAAGCTGGGACTCGGAAGGGCAAAGGTCACTTCAGCATCGACCAGATTACGACGACAGGGGATGTCAAGCTCAAAGGTCACGTGGGCACGATGAAACAGGGTAACGGAGCAACCAATGGAACCGCTCGACCGAACAACTAACCGCGATTCAAGGTCATCTCCGGCTAGCAGCACGTATATTAACACACGTAACACTACTCAACGCAGCCAGCCCTGACACTTTTAAAACGCCTCAGACCTCCTTCCGATTGCTATTATGATTAATCGAGACACAGGAGTGACTTTCCTTAGTCTTTCAGTATTCCTCAAACGTTAGAATCTTACCGCTTTTCCGGCAAGTGGCTGACTGCCATGGCTAAGTTTGTAAACCAATGAAGCGTCGTCCTGGTTAATGGCCCAAACGCAAGTCGTTGGTTATTACGCTAAACGGATTGTTGTGTGGCAGTGAGGCATCAGTGTCAAAACCGATGTTACTGCCTCCGATAACTAGGCAGCCGAATAAAAACAAATTGTCTGACTAGCAGTCCCGATGACTGTCCGCGCTTACGCACCCGAGCACACGATCAACATGAACGTTTATCGTGTCAAATCCAAATAAAGTTGAATGATGCACTTGTAGCCGTAGTGTTACTAGTGCGTGCGAAGCCAGTTTGGATCAGCTCAGGGGGGTAAGACGATACTGGCCACAGAATCAACAACACAAATCTCTCGTCTAAGTGCTGATCAGTCGCTCGCTCAGACTTGTAGGCGGGAGGTCGCGGGATCGACTCTCTGTAGTTTCCTGAGATGCGCACTGCTGATGATTCCCAATCAGGATGAAACAGCTGTACGGTGCTTCTCAACTTTTCAGGACATGTTAGCTTCACTTACAGGACGAAATTCCCACCCCGGAAATCTCTGTTTTGAGGACGGAATTTGCGAATCCGTCCTGGTTGAGATCAAGCTCTCCTCATCCATGAAGAATTTGCATGCCTGGCCGAACGCTTCGTGAGAGACACCTACGGGACCTATGGCGTCAAAGCGACATATCCGAGTCAACAGTACGGGCTGTTTTGTTGTACCGCTATAAGGATTGGGCTGTCCGAACAGCGGAACTCAGACGTACTTAAGTCTTCAACAATCGTCATCTTGGAACCGTAGCCCGTGTGTGTTGGTGTCGACGAATCTGTGACGAGGTTACTAGAAAACGGTTGTTCGGTTGTACAAGAAGCTGCAATGGTTAGGTCATGTATTGCGCATGACAAACCATTGTTTGCCAAAGAGAGTGCTGTTTTCCTTGCCCAATTCAGAGTGGCAGAAGCAGAGGGGTGGTCAGCCTTTGACCTGGCACAGGGATGTGAAACAGATTACGAAAAGTCTGGGTGCTGTCGGCGTGACTCGCCTTCCAGGATGGGGACCATGTGATCTCCACTGTGCCCGGTTAGAGACGCTGCAAAATTTGGCTGCACTTCGAGGTCAACGACGCTTTTGTCATCGATTTGGCTTCATTTCAAGGTTAACGGCGCTCTTGTTATCGGTTTCTGTCCAGATTGAATGAATGAGTGCCCGGATATTTGAGCACGTCGGAATGATTCTGATAGGCTAGCACTAAGTCCCTTCCCCGGGGTGCTGTGTTAACCTAGCCCAAACTTATTGTTGAATGTAGGGCTGACAAAAACAGAGGGGCATTTGTGGCCATCAAACATTTCATGAAAATAGTCTAAGTAACTATCCATCTCATTTGCTTTTCGTTTCCCCGTGTGTAGCTTTAGAACTTTTTTCGAAACTCGGCAGTCACTTCTCTTAGCCTTCTAATAACACCCATGCCTGTTTTACTCTGTTTACTTCCTAGACATTTTTTTTCGAACACGGGGTACGCTATACCTGATGATGAGGCAACAGACCACAATTCATTAGCATAGAAAGGGTAACGTTCCGCGTAATCAGCGGAGAATCCCAAATAAAGTGGTTCACCAAAACCCACCAGCTCGCCAGTGAACAGGTCCCAGATGCACCAACCATCCAAGGTACTACCAGCATAAGCGTATCTCTGTCCAGTCTGATGGGCCGGGGAGAAACGGGCACGAATGAGTGTGTAGCGAACTGTATGACCCCTCAGAGTGAGTACGGATTGATCACCACGGCTAGAGCCACTATGCCAGTGGCGCGGGTTGGTGTCTGAAATGGAAGAAGAACACGAGAAGACGCATAAAAAGACACTAAACGGTCCAGGTTTGAAAAACGGACGTAAGCTAGGCATGGAAAAACTTCCTCTGGAAGAGAAGAAGCACACGGTTAGGTAGTGGAATGGAAAGATCTTGTCTACATCTTTTAGTGACTGAAGTGTGTTGCCTAAACCAATATCCATGTCATCGTGGTGTCCTTTCAACGTACAGCGGCTGTGCAACGAACAACGCCAACCTACAACCTATCATCCCTCAACAGCCCGCATTTTATCATTCGCTCTACATGCAGCATACGTCATCGATTGAGAATGGTTTCGCTTCGCTCAATACAGTGAGGATGAATTTTCGTAAGAGTAGATGTCAAAGGTCATACAAAGCCCGCTACATTTGGTGCTGGCCAAAAACAGGAAGGAAATTGACAATAAGTGAAATTTTAACAAATGACTACGTTCACAGCCACGCGACTGGATCGAACACCAGGGCTTTCGAGAGCAAGTGGAATCAAGTCCCGTGACTTTCGAATACTGCTCTCAAATTGGGAAATCGTTTATACTATGAACCACCGAAAGTTACAAGTACATGGAAATCAATAAGGTTAAATAGAGAGAAGGACACCCTGTCCGGTAACGTACAGGTTTTCGGAATCGAGTGAACTCGGTAATCCCAGTTCGCCCGAGGTCGGCAAAACTGCAATGGAAGCAAACAAGAAATACGAAGGTTGTACAATGGTGAGGATCTGTAGGCGATCAACAGCACTTGTATTGATGCGACAGTCACGAACATCACAAACACGTTACGTTTGGTACAGAAATGGTACCAACATTCAACACGACCACCAAGTCTGCACCGATGACGATGAGCTCATGGTCAAAAAGGCGACCTAAGTATNCTTTTGTATTGATGCGACAGTCACGAACATCACAAACACGTTACGTTTGGTACAGAAATGGTACCAACATTCAACCCGACCACCAAGTCTGCACCGATGACGATGAGCTCATGGTCAAAAAGGCGACCTTAAGTATCGGCTTCAGTTGTCCAAAACCAACCCAGTGTGCCTGTCATTAACCTATGTATGTTTTCAGACCATCTCTTTTGTTCTCCAACAGATACTTACGTGTGACGGCAAAGTGATGGACTATCGTGAACATACACGTAACACTAGGTCCCCTGGATCCATTTTATCGGAATATGTATAGGACATAGGTTAAGGGGTGCTAATAATTCAACCAAAGGTGTTATGTTTATAGGTGAATAACACGACAACAGTGATTACAAAAAGGTCGAATGACACATGATGGTTGACTGGGGGCTCAGTTCTGTGGCGGGCAAACGGAATGAAAGTCGTTCTGGAAGGTCGTGCTAACCTGGAAGCAAGCTTTGCGTCAGCTGTTGACAGTATCAAACGAAATATTGGCATCACACGAAATTGATGCAATCACAACTTCGTTCTACGAAGCCATAACTGTGAAATCGGGTGGGAGAGTGTGATGAATATATCTGGATATCCGGATTGCTGAACTTGTCTTCGAGGCAGGTCAAACGGTTGACCATGAACATGCCTTTACTGAAGTCAATGACAGATGAGAGCATCACAACAAAAACTATGCATAAAAAACCACTGTTTCAATCCATATGTCAAACCCGGAAATGACTATCACCTACCTACTCCAAAACGAACTGTCACTAGCGGAATACACTCATTTGCTAACTAAGTTGGTTTTGCGAGAGACTCGCCTGGAACCCAGCTGAATCTCTCGTTTGTGATGTAACAGATGAACCAGTCAGTCAGTCAATCAGTAATTCAGCTCACAAACTGTGCACCGACGTGCGGTGGTCCCAACTGGAGGAGAATGAATAGAAGGAAGTGACAGTCATGCGTTCGTGGTGACGGCCCAGTCTGTGCATCGACAACAGATAGATTTGTTCATCCAGTATGAAAGGAAGTGAGAGCTACACATTGAAAGCGACAGCTTTAATACAGGGCTGCTAGTGGCCGAGTGACACGGTCATATTTGTAAGGGTCACTAGCAATCGGTTTGTTTTGTCCCGCGGTCCCTATCCGGGCAGACGACATTCACCCATGTGATTGAGTCGGATCCGTTACCAAGCGCTGGATCGACCAAATCTCCGACCAACACAAGGCTGAACGACGAAAGCGCTATGATGAAAACGGTCATCTGGTTTAACCAGTGTAACCTGTTGACTGTTGTTCACCGAGGATAGAGGAAACGAGGGAACATGGCCGCGTATTAGAAGTTATCACTCAACAAGTTTCGTGACATAAAATCTCATTACACAATAGGAACTGGGTGAACTGAATAGTGAAGGCGATGACTTTAATGCAACTGGCCGTGTGTTAGGTAATAAATATCAGTGCCACTAATCATCGATGCGTCTCGTATCATTGGGAAAGACAACCGTGACCAGCAAAATTAGTTTACTAACCAGAATTTCTATCATCATCACGTCGTGGACTGATAATACGTAAGTCATTTCCATCCCTTAAGTGGATGAGCTCTGTGAAACAGATAGCCTTCTGGGGATATTAACCGAATTTTTATCGCTGACTGAAATCCACGAAGGATTGTGTTAGGCAGGAATCCACGCGGATCCCACTATACCGCACGTCTTTAGGCGCTGCTACGGCCGAGAAGCCTGGCCCGCTCGGCTTCACAAAGTATCAAAATCTTGTCGATTCACGTGCAACCAACAACGTCAATTCACTGAGCAGGCAAGAGTCGGAAGCAGATAATAACTTGTTAGAGATTTTACAAGACACTCGTCACCATTCAGAACAGCGAGAGTAATCAGGAAAATGTAATCAATCTTACCTGATCTTTTCCTGATTGGGTGTGCTTTCGCAAATCCCACAGTCGGACAGTCTGATCTTTGCTGTTTGAAAGAAAATAAACGCCGTCCCCCTGTTAAAAAAGATGATAGGATGTCAAGCGAAATACGAATGGCGGCGAGTGAAACGAGCAGACAGGTGCATTGGTAACCACCAGTGCGTCCTAATATGTGTTCATGTTGTTCGCTTAACAGCATCCAGATGGGTTGATGAATTTTTGATTCCCCATGCGGCAGAACGGCGTCGCCAGCTTGGTAAAGTAAAGACTCTCTAGAGCAAAGAACCGCCTATAATGACGGTGTTTGGTCTGTCACGTCAAACTGGTGCGCAGCTCTTACTTGACAAGCTACTGATTTCACGACAGCGTCTGTATTACCATCAGCAGCAGCCCCAGTGCGTGAAACCATGCCAGTCAGCTTGATCAAAGCCCTATTATCACGAAAATGAGAGATGAGTCTAGAGCTCGTCTGCGAAAGCATCTAAATTGCACATACTTTCAGCCAAACACTCGATCCAATTAGATGCCAGATGGTAGCATGAACGCACTAACGACTGTTTGTAACTGTCTTGCAGTGTTGAAAGTCAACCACAACGAGGGCAACGGGCATCAAATCCTGAAAGATGGATAGTATACAGGCGCTTCGCGATTTCTTTCAGTTTACACTAACAAGTTGTACTTTGTCCATCCCTTGGTTCGCACCACTTTTTGGTACAGAAGACACCACAATCCCAGGCAAACGAAAACTCGTCATGCGTGGCAGACAAGGTAAGACAGACTGGCACTCATGAAAAGCACTAGGCTGTAATCCACTCTACAGCGTCCACCCCTCTGGAGGGACAAAAGCTGCAGCCAAAATTGAAAAAGAACCTAGCGAAAAGCGGTTACTAATAGGTGAAGGGTTCAATCAAATTAAATCGCTCAGATATGGCACCCGTACACATAAAACTGCCACATCCAGAAATAAACACGAAAGATATGATACTCTGGAGTTTCCGAGGTCTCAACAGAAGATCTAGAGTATGGGTCTGAGTCATTGATTCCTCGGTTAGGAGCCTGATCCTGAACTTTGAGCTTTGTTGGGATCAGGGAACAAGAACTCACGAGGACGACTAGGCTACACTCATGACATTTTAGTGTGGGAGATGCCGTAAGAAAGCCATGTTTCGAAGCGACAGTGAGAAACTCAACGCAGTGTGAAATCAACAGGCACGGCGATTATTTTTGGCTCCCAGATGACACCTATCTCGTTCTGAAGGGTCTAGCAGTGTGCCAGTCCCCTGGCAGACCTGGCAGCTGCGTGTCGGAAGAATGTTACAACAGTTCTGTACATGTGGGGGATGCCGTAAAAAGAGTCATGTTTAGAATCGGCAGTGAGAAACTCAAGACAGTGTGAAATTCACAGGCACGGTGATTACTTTTTACTCCCAGGTGACACCTGTCTGGTTCTGAAGAGTCTAGCAGTGTGCCAGTCCCCTGAGAGCTGCGTGTCGGAAGGATGTTACAACAGTTCTGTACTACGAACAAACTGCACACGTTCACGGACAAAAATACGGCATTTACAG